GTATTCGCCACATACAAGTGATATTTATCAGTAGCAAAACCAGGAGTGAAAAACACATCTTAGTCAATAGTGATTTTTTCCTTTTATCACAGCAGCATTACACGGGATGCTGAACATCATCCACCATAACATTTCCTCTTAGCCTTCAATGTTGCTGAGAAACCTTTCTATGGAAATTAAAAATTTTTGGAAAAAGAGTTTCCAATTTATAATCGTACACACTGTCAGATGTGATCAGCAACAGACTTTCTCGCTCATTTAAAAAAAAGTATGCATTTGGGTAATATTCTCTCTGGATTTTGGAGGGGACATTCTGCTTAAGAACACAGTGAGTGAATTAATGAAGGCTTTTTACAACTAGGGAAATTCCTGTCAGTTTTTTTGAATGACTATCAGTGTGCAGAATCCTCGATGCGATTGCTCCGTTAACAGGTGAAGTCTTCGACATTAAGAAGGTGGAGTGTGTAATTGTGCATAAGTGAAAATAAAAAATATTATGCAACAAGCTTTCTACAAACATGCTAAAAATTGTTTTGACGTGAAATGTATTATCCATCGTATATTACACTTGAAGCAACGATGACAATATAATCTCGAGCGGCGGAATGCCGCCATCAACTTGCTTGTAGCAACTTTCAAAAGAGGAAGCCATCGAAAGACTTGCCGGCAGACCATTGCTGTTGGCGTTTGCTACAATTTGGGCTAATTCCTGTGCCTTTCATCAGCAGCGAATTGACGTTGGTTTTAACACTGAGAAAGATTTCGACTCATCACGCTTAATAACAATTTTAAGCAAATTCGGAAAAGTTTTTTCGCGACTTTGGAAAATTTCAAAAACCAGTTAAAATATATTTAATACCCCAAAAGGATAAACAGTCGCACAAAAATCAACAGCCCTGTTGTTCTTTTCATAGCATTCGTAGAAATGGAGCCCACACAGACATTATAAACAAGCTCAAGTAGCTCCACAAACTTCTTCAGTAATCCTTGAGAAACAGCAGAGTTATTGAGCAGCTGAAATATTTTATCCTTTTTGTAATGATCGGCGTGCCGAGTATTCCCTTCAAAGTTATATGCTAATGCTATAGTCCCGAGACCGATGAACTTCTGCAAAGTTACGTCCCGCGGTCTCACGAACAAATCCTGTTTGGCCGCTGTGTAATTGTGATAGCTCTATTGTTCTATTTGATTATTTATATCGCACTTCGTTAAATGCGCTGATGATCTTCTACTATGCTCTGTCACAAAACATCGGGTCAACACTGTGACAGGAAATGCGGTGCGCCTCGTTTTTATGGAATTGCTCCCACAGGTTTAGACTACCTAAAAGATATGCAGGAGTATCCTAGTAACGTTACAAACGGGAAATATTCGCCCTGATAGCCCGAGCAGTCTTGGTATTCTTGATAAAAGAGCAATATAAGAACACTGAACATGTGTAAGAAGCAAGCAGAATCGTTTGTTCAGCACAATGAGGTCACAGTAAATACGGCGCACAGAAGCGTCGATTGTCTTGACCATCAAACACTGCGAAAAACTAATCACCACTGGACCTGTTATAAAAAATCTTTCGTAAGGTTATTGACCCGAACCTTACAGGGTCATCAGTGGCAGTGTGGTCGTTGGTCGACATAAATAATATGATCTCACAAGGTCAACAAAGTTCCAGAAAATCCACCCGAAGGTTCAGTGAGGGCATCGAAGTCAAATATAAAAGAAATAATTGGTCAACGCACGGGCTGCTCGTGCGAGGATGCGTTTTTTTGCATAGTTTCCCGCAGTTTTTGTTGCAACCGGCACTGGTTTTTTCGAAAAATGCTTCTAGTTAAACCAATTAGGACTGGCCGCCAGAACTGTCAGGAAATACCTCTTCAAAATTTCAGCTTTCTAACTTTTCTGGCTTCTGAGTTACCAACTTACTGGAAGAAAATTTTCACGGACCCGTAAGTGGGTATCACGCATACCTGATGTCTGGTTTTGAGCTCATTAAGACTTACGTGAATGGGGAACATCCTCTTAAGATTTCAACATTCTGGCTTCTCAGATCCCCGAGTTATGAATTTACGTGAAAAAAATTTTGGAAGGCCCGTACGCAGATACCACGTTAACCCGGGAGCTGTGTTTGAGCTCTTTAATAGCTACTTGGACGGGGAATACCACCCTAAGGTTTCAGCATTCTAGCTTCTCAGATCAACAAGTTATGAATTTGCCCGAAAAAACTTTGCGGGCTCGTACGCGGGTACCACACTTACCAGAAGGCTGGGTTTCAGCTCATTAATACCTATTTGGACGGGGAAAATCCCCTTAAAATTTCAGTCTCCAAGCATTTCTGGTTCTCTAGTTAGCAGCCTCTCCTTAAAAAACTTTGGCGAGCTCTTACGTGGGTACCACGCGAGTAATGGCGCCCATTTTGGGGATTGGGGCCCGTACTTTCATGTAGATTTATTTCCCAAAGTTTCAGCCCTACAGCTTTTGTAGGTCTTGACTTGAAAAAGTGTGACAGATGCATACACGGACACGCACACACACGCACACACACACACACACACACACACACACACACAGAAAACCCCTTCTTAATATGCGTTTTTCGCATTGCATAGCTGCAAAAAGCGTGTTAAAACTGAAGAGTGTGGTGGGACGGCAGGGAGGTTATGTCGTGTGTCTCTGGGAATTTCGAGTCCGACTTCCAGTTAATTCCGCGTCTCGGACGAGTGAAACTTCTGACGAAAAATTTTTTAGCTTGACGGATGAAAAAGAGGAGAAATAGGCGGATCCAACGGAATGGGGAGAGGAGGGGGGGAGAGTTTTTCGTGGTGCAGGCACTAGTGCTGCAAAAGCCCGGTCCGTTCAGAAATAAAATTAAAGTAACTCTAAGTGGCAGTGTTACAACTTTGTCCCTAGTTTTGTACATTTCTTCCCTCCTCCCTCCCTCCCCCCACCCAGTCGCCCTATGTCCCCTTTCTCCCCATCCCCCCGGCTCCGTTCTGGTTCCGCCTCTGAGAGGAGGATATTTCCTGTCTATGCGCTGATCTTAAAATATAGGGTGCGAGTTAAATTTCAAATTGAAAATCCTTGGCATCCCCCTGAGACAGATAAACCGGAAAGCTGAAATTTTACGAGGATATTTTCTGTGCATGTGCAATTGCTTTGATTTGAAATCCGTTTTCGCGCGCGTTCGGTAAAATGCAACGCCGTACCAACTGCTAGGCTTTCTGCGCTATTTCTTGATTGACGAATAAGTGAATTTGTGAGAGAGTGTGTGCGCAGGCTGCAGAGAAATTCGCAGTAGCCTGGTACGTTAGCTCAGTTTGCGTACATTTTTGGGGCCGCAGTTGCGGAAGTCGTGGTGCCCTGTTCTTTGTTGGAATAAGGCTGAAGATGGCGCGCTCGAGGTTGCTAGTTTCTCGTCGCATGAGAAATCCATGGGAGGATCCTCTCCCCTCCCCCTCCCCCGTGGCTTAGGGTGTTGTTTTCAAGGTTACTAGTTCCTTATCGTATGAGGAACCCATGGGGGATTCCCCCCCCCCCTCCCCGCGCTCTAATAAATTTCCTGCCTGTGTTTTCATTTCCTATCTTCAAGCAAGGTCTCAGCTCATTTCCAATCAATGGCTTTTTCCTCCCCCCCTCGTTATCATACCCGGTATCCAAACCATACCTCCAGACCTTCATCTTCTTCCTTCTACAGTTCCAACTATTCCCCGCACGGAGCCGAGCCGATTTTTTTCTTAAATAATTGCTAATTTCAGCGTCGGCTTACTGAGCGGTTCGCGGGCGTGTATGCTTACCATCGTCTAGGCTTATTTCAGCAAGGATGCCGGAGATTCGGGTAAGTATTTGATGTTATTGCAGTTTTATTTAATTTTTATGCGTTTTTTGCAGCTATGCAATGCAGAAAGCGCATATTGACGAGGGGTTGTCTGTGTGT